AGTTGATATCTGTAATTATATATGTACTCACATAAATATATTTTAGATGCCAAGAATTGGATTTCTGGATTCTGTAATGTTATATTCATTTTTGATATCCGAAACAGTAATTATGAGTTATGATTAGTAACTTTATTGTGGAGATCTGAAATTAGATTTCATCCTAGTCAGAATTCATTTTAGATAGGACGAATGTTATGTTAGATATCTGGAAATAAAAGCCCAATAAACATGACGTCATTTGTACTAGTACGAATTACATTTTAGATATCTGAAATGTTCATTTTGACTAGAAAGAAATGCATTTGAGACATGTGCAATATATATTCATTCAAGCTAATAAATGTCAAAAAGGCCTGCCATACCGTTGTCTAACCACCTGCCTGTTTTAAAAATAGAACAGGCAGGGACTCGTATCCTGCTCTGCAGTAAATATAAAGTGGAGGATTTTCGTGAATTTCTGAAAAGACCCGCCCTCTCCTCTTAAAATTAAAATGAACACAAACTTTCTCTTCTCATTTTCTCCACCCTGCCTGAGAAAGAGGAAATAAAAAAGCCCGAACAGATTTAAGACGTTATAAACGACATCGTGACGGGATTCCTTACGTCCTCACTTGCCACTTGAGGCCAAATCTGTCGTGAATAAGCAAGGCAAAATAGAAATGTAGAACTGTTTGATTGAATCTGTGTATTCTAGGGATTTTGTAATTTCATATACATCTAAACAATAAAATGAAATGAACAAATGCAGTTACACTACTGTAGAACCCAGAAAAAAAACATCTGTAGAAAACTGAGTTACTAGCGATAATTTTCCTTAGATAAATCTCTATGGCAGAATCTGTACTGAAAAATATGGCTATATATTAGGAGTGGAACGATTCACAAAATCCACGGTTTGGTTCGATTCACCGTTTCGTGGTCACGGTTTTCGGTACGGTTCGATTCGGTATATGTTGATTGTTACACCGAAATCCCATAAGAATGTATGAAATTAATGAAAAAATCCCCCAAAAAATAATGGATTGTAATTATTTTTAATGATCCGCGGAAACCCTGGATCATCTCCGTATGTTTTGCTGCTTTGAATTTAATCATCTTGCGCATGCTCTCTACCATCTCCAAGGGACTCAGAGGGGAGCGTATGGGAGCGACGGTGGAGGCTGTAGGCTTTGCTTTGTGCAGCCGGTCTGGAGCGCAGCGGGGGTTGCTGACAAAGTATGTGGGATTTC